GGGGGGGGGGATTATGTCTCTGATCCCTTTTTTTCTTGGCACAGGGAAGCAAAACGTGAGGGAGTATTGTCAGACCACAAATCATATGACTATACCCCAGTTTTTTCCCCCTCGCTCTCTCTTTTTTTCCATATTTCTGCACACACAAGCACATACACATTATATTCCCCTGCACTGACAGCAGGAGAACCTCCTGGAAAGCCTTTTCCTTTCCTAGAAGGAGCTAAAACCACCCCCTTTCACATAACTAAAGAACAAATTCTGTTTTGGATTGGCAGCTTCCTTTTCCTCACAGCAGAAGTGGCTGCAAACCGTTTGGCAGCGACTGGACACAATGGCCAAAGACAAAACACTGGAGTCATATTTTATACATACAGAAGCACAAATAGTTCTGTACAGATGCACTCAACAAATAGTTTGAGCACAATTATTTCAGGATTTGTACTTAAAAATGCAGATCTACTTGAAATCTAACAGTTGTTTGCTGTTTAAATATAAGCACTACTTACAATCTCTGTTGACTTATTATTTTTTAAACTTCTTAAATGTTTTGCTTGTGGTAGTATTTTGTTATTATTTATTCATTTGCCGACTTTTCAACCCTGGTTTTGTGATCAAGTTTTGACTTTCTTACATGTTTACTTGAGAAACCACCACTCTCGCATCACAGAGGCCACATGACTTTGACACATTCATTTCAGATTGCATTTATTGTTTCACTTCTGTTTTCTTGTCAAAACAGGAAGTGGTGCCCTCCTACCTGGCCACCTCTCCCATCTTGTCAGACGGGGCCATTATGATGAGCTCCTCCCTGATGGGCAAGAAGAGCTCCGGGGGGCCGCCCATACAGACCCTGGGCTCCACGGGGAGCGCGGGAGAGACTGGTGGCGTGATGATGAAGAAGAGGAGAAAGAGGAGGAGGAAGGCTCGGGCGGACAGCGTGAGGAGGGAGGAGAGCGGAGACTACTCCGAGGACGAAGACATGTTCACCATAGACATCAGCTCGGATGAAGGGACGGAGATGGAGAGCAACAGGTGAGAATGTGGAGAGAGTGAGGGAAAAAGGGGGGGAAGGAGGAGATGGAAGAAAAGAGGAATGAAGAAAAAAGAAAGAATTTTTAAGTAATGAAATAGTGGAAAAATAATGAAACACGTGAGGTGTGAGAAAAGAGGAAAAGCAAGACACATGACAAAGTAAGGGAGGGAGAAAGGGAGGACAGTGAGGCAGTGAGATAAAAAGTATAATAAATCACTGAACTGAGCTTTGAGAACAGCTGTAATGCAACTGGAGTCTGTCAGGCACGAATAAACAGACCCGCGCCTGTAGTGGAGAAGCCTCCAGCTGTGGCCCAAAAACACTAAGACACTTTGAAAACACACCTTCAGCTGTGGGATTGTTTCTGGAGAGAAAAGTAGAAGCTTTGCATGTGAAAAGAGGAAATATCTTCACTGTGTGTGTTGCTGTTAAGGCGTGCATACAGTATGCTACTGCCAACATGTAACTCGGCCTCCGGTGCAGCATTTGATCTAAAACAGACTAGTGGCGTGTTTTAGGCACGCAGCTATAGGAGCCACTGCCTTTCCATACTGCATGTTAGTATGCAAGTGCTCTTATCATGAATGAATACAGCTGCAGTTGTAAATAACTGCCACATGACAGATTTATTTTCATCTCTGCAACGCGATTGGGGGATACATTACATCTCAATTCTGGCTCATCTCTACTGTATGCTACTGTAAAACAACACCAGGATGTTTTTCTTTTCCATTCATGTACAGTGAGAACAGTTATTGGCCTGTAATAAACAAGATGATGGGATTATATGTAGTGTAAACAAATTTTTATCAGGCTTTGTTGTGTAAACTGACCACCACATTTCTTTTAAGTTATGTAAAATCAAAGTTTTTGCACCAATGTTCAACCATAATGCAGTGTGACAGCATTGTAGCTACAGCACCTGTTATGTTTTGAGTGCAGGCAGAGTGCAACAAGTTCAGGCATGATCTGTGAGGGTCTTGAAAGTCGTTTTGGGAAATGGGTGAAAAGTGAAAGGTAAATTACTGACCTTAATAAAAGATACACTACACTACTTTATTAAAAAATGCGGATTAATGATATACAGTTGTGTGGTATACATATACAGTATTTGTGTGTGTTTTTAGGACTTCATCTCGGGACGTATTAAGAGATGAGACAACCAGCGGCTCTTTCAAACAGACTGGTATCTACACTCGTTCAGATGGAGAGTGGAGCCCTATTCAGAGGTGCTTCTTTTACTCATATGATGAAGATCTACATGTTATTATTCAGAAGAAACATTGCCTTAATTGTTATCTTATGTTCCTCTCTCAGCCCTGGAAACTCTCGTCCCACCTCTCCCAAGAGTGACTCTGAACTAATGACCAAGCCATCAGATGCAGACAATCAGAATCCAACCATGCACTGGGCGTGGGGAGAGCTGCCGCAGGCTGCCACGGTAACCAAAGTGTCCACTGTGCATATATATATACACAGAGAGAACAACTCTATTTGTGTTAGTTTTCGTATGCTGTTAGTCTGTTTCACAGTGTTTTTTTATTCCCTCCCTTTCCCTGTTTTTCTAGCCATCCTTCCTCCCAGTGAAATCTGAACCTCCACCAGTTTTTCCAGTATCCATCCCGGTGTCCGAAAGCACTCACTTCCGTGTGATAACTCACGAAACGTCTTCAGAGCAGTGTGGACCCTGCTCTGAAATATCAGCTCTCAGGCTGCTAATGACAGAAGAGCACGCCGAGGAAACAGTGGGGATGGAGTCTGAATCCGTGAGGATGGAATCGCAGACAGTCAGTGCAGAGATGCAGGTTACAACAGCGGAAAGTGCGGCAGCTCGTATGATGTCTGACATGGAGGAGACAATGTCTCGTCCAGCAGGCAAAACAGACTCTCCGTCCAAGAGAAAAGGTGCCATTTCTCTCAGCAACACAGTAAAATTAATCGTTCCTTTGAGAGTCTTGTTTGTCTATTCAACCGTTATTTATTATGTGCTGAGGTTTTAAACTGTCAGCTGTATTGCAGTACAGTTCAATGCCCTTGGGTTTTGGGTGTTAAAATCACCAAATACATTTGGAAGGTCTTTGGAAATATAATGACAGTTGCTCATCATAACCAAACCCAATACTCTGCTGTTTACCTCAAACCACATTATAAAGTAATATAAATCTGGGTGGCTAGAAGAATACTAAGCTTTATTGTGTTTGGGGGTAAAATAATATATTTTAAAAATATATATATATATAATATCCACTGTACTGCCTATTTTGCTTATAGGGGAATTATAAGCCAAGCATAAACTTTAAGGTATATTATTAATAGAGAATTAGTAAATACAAATACAAAGAAGCTGACTGTTTATTTCAGTGGAGTTGTTGCTCTGTTGCAGACAAGAGAAGCCGCCATCTTGGTCCTGATGGAGTTTACCTGGATGACATCACCGAGCTTGAGCCTGAAGTGGCAGCCCTTTATTTCCCTAAGAGGTGTGTGGAAGCACACAAACACACACAGAGTCATAACTTAAAGCCAGTTCAAGTTTCAACACATTGGCTGAACTGAACATTGTAAACTCCTCTCCTCTGTAGTGACGGTGGCGCAGCAGTGAGGAGCGTCTCAGACCCCGGCCTCAACAGCACCAGTCTGTCCCCACAGTCGGTCAGCTCTGGAGGAGACAGCGGAGTGGACAGCTACTGCGACCCCATGGGCGACTTGCCATCTATCACCATCTCTTTGTGTGGAGGACTCACTGACAACCGGGAGATCACTAAAGGTAAGACTGGCATACCAACACAACACGACCACTGTGCTGTGGAGGAGGGAACCTGAACATGAAATGTGTGTGTCCTTACAGAGCAGTTTCACGAGAAGATGATCTCTTACCAGCAGTTTGCAGAAAACCCCTCCATCATCGATGACCCCAACTTAGTGGTGAAAATTGGCTCCAAGTAAGACATTCACAGCATGTTTTTGTCTAAATGTTGTCAAAAGCAGTTTATAAACTACTGTTTGCTGTTTTGCTGTATGGATTTCTTTCATCCATACAGCAAATCAGGATGGTTGGGGCTCATAAAGAGGATTTTGAAATGACATTTGGCTGTCAAAGTGTTTTTTTGATGCGGTTATGGAATTGATAAAATGTTGTTTTCTTACTCAGGTACTATAATTGGAGCACTGCGGCTCCACTTATGCTGGCTATGCAAGCCTTTCAGAAACCGCTGCCAAAGGTAAGAAATTGATACACAGCTCAGACATTAATGACTCAAGCTGTAGGCTGGTTGTGTTACATGAATACCACTCCCCCTTTTGACCAAAACCGGTACTGCATCCTGTATGTTTACATCCCTATAGGCTTTATAAGTCTACCCATTACGTTACATTACCTAATGTGCATTATATAAACTCTGTTATTGCAGCCTCACACATACTTTACGTTGTGTGGCGAACGCTCCAAGTTAAACTTTGTCTTCCCCTCTGTTCCCCTTCCTTCTATTTCATCACTCCCTCTCCTCTACTCTATCGGTGCATCCATCGATCCATTCATTAGTTCTCTTGCCTCAGTTATATTCACTCAGCCTTAGAGTTTCTTCTCTGTTGTCTGACTGGCGTGCTGGGCTACAGCTCTGTATGTCAGAGACAAACTCTTTTCAACTCAGTTACTATCTTGTTTTCTCATCTTATGCCACTTTCTTCTGTTTGTACTCTTCATCCTGTCCACAATCAAACGCTTGAACTCCTCCCACCCATACATGCTTTATTTGTCCTCATTCCAACCGCAGACACATTGTTGTTTCTGTGTTACTGTTTGTTCATTTACAGTATGGTTTGGCTTCAGTTTTTTGAGTGTGTTTTTATGGTGCTGTGTGGTTGTTTGCGTGTCGTGTGTCGTCCACTCCAGGCTGCAGTGGAGAACATCATGAAGGAGAAGATGCCCAAGAAAGGAGGGAGGTGGTGGTTCTCCTGGAGAGGCAGAAACAGCAGCACTAAATCGGTAATTTCACCTGCGTACCTTCCATTGGGATTATTGCTTAGTCTGTCAGGTGTTAAGAAAATAAGTGAGTAAAGCAAATTAACACTGTTTCTCTAATCTCGTAGGATTCAGTATCTGAGCGTGGGGCCTGTGGCTCTGCTGAGCAGGATGGGGAAATGACAAGCAGGTGAGGAACCTCAAAACATTGGTTATAAAGTTAGCGGCGGACTGAACATCCTCTAACACACTGTTAACCTCTGTGATGCCAGACATAAAGAAGAGTCGTCCTCCAGCGATGAAGACCACAGGGCAACCAAACAGAGCTCTTCCACTGTCCAATCAGAGCCTGGGCTCACACTAGGAGGCGTGTCTTATAAGAAAACACTCCGACTCACATCAGAGCAGCTGGTGAGGAGTTTGGTTTGAATACGCTTCAGATTTGGACATTTTTTAGTTATTAATAGCCATGCTTTTTACTTTTGTATATTATTTCTCACTGTCTCCCTCTATCTCTATCTCTCTCACACACACACACACAGCTGTCTCTCCAGCTGCAGGATGGTCCTAATGACGCTGTGTTCAGTGTGACCACTCAGTACCAGGGAACCTGTCGCTGTCAGGGCACCATCTACCTCTGGAACTGGGACGACAAGATAATTATCTCAGACATAGATGGAACCATCACCAGGTGCGTGATACAAAATGAATATAAACATACCTTTACATCTGCCTTTACTACATAGATGAACTCAGTTTGGAGTGAAAATGGCTATAGATATATAGTCTAAGTATATTTTCACTGTAGTTTCATTCATTCCCTGCTGATTATGAGGCTATTTAGATTGAGTGTGCTTCCTGCACACCAAAATGTAGGCTTTTAACTTTTCCCCCAAAACTGAAAATGTGCCTGTAGTCAATGTCACCAATGTGTGTTTGTCTCCAGGTCAGACACATTGGGTCACATCCTGCCCACGCTGGGGAAAGACTGGACTCACCAGGGCATTGCACACCTCTACCACAAAGTCAGCCAGTAAGCACTTATTTATTAACACACTGTCAGCATGAAAGGCAAATCGCTTGAAAATCCTGCACACATTTCACACAAGACAGGCCAAAAGCAAGCCTATTGATCATTATTAATACTTTTGCTTGTTCTTTCATATCTCTCTCTCTTTCTCTCTCTCCATCAGAAATGGATATAAATTCCTGTACTGTTCAGCACGAGCTATCGGCATGGCTGACATGACCAGAGGTTATCTCCACTGGGTCAATGAGAGGGGCACCATGCTCCCTATGGGTCCTGTCCTTCTCAGCCCGAGCAGCCTGTTTTCAGCTCTGCACAGGTATCTCATATGCACAAACACTTTTTTATTTGTCTAAATTAGGACTCTATTAGTAAGAAATAACAACGTGCAAGAAGATGCAAGAGGCATTGTCACTGACTTGATCATTGTTGTGACTGGGGTGTGTGTGTTTGTGTTCGACAGGGAGGTTATTGAGAAGAAACCAGAGAAATTTAAGGTGGAGTGTCTAAACGATATCAAGAATCTCTTCTACCCCAACAAACAGCCGTTCTATGCAGCGTTTGGCAACAGACCAACGGTACGCTCACATTATATACAATACATCTGATTCCTGTGACAGTTACAGTAATACTCGGGATCCTCAGGATTTTGGTTAAAATGAAAACCATTTGTGCTGTAGATTCTTAGTTTCATTCAGATGTACAATATTTCTAACTCAGTTCTCATTTATATTTTCAGGATGTATATTCCTACAAAGAAGTAGGAGTGCCACTGAACAGGATTTTTACAGTCAACCCTAAAGGCGAGCTAGTGCAGGAGCATGCCAAGACCAACATCTCATCGTAAGTCCTGCATCCAGTTTACACTCTCTTTTCTTGGAGGAAACACCGTAATGACTCCAGGAAACATGATTGTTTGTTCGGTCATTGAACGAGTCCTCCTCTCCTCTCTTCAGTTATGTACGTCTGGGTGAGGTGGTGGACCACGTGTTCCCTCTGAAAATGCGAGCCTCCTCCTCAGACTTCCCCTGCTCGGACACCTTCAGCCACTTCACCTACTGGAGGCAGCAGCTCCCCCGGGTGGAGCATCAGGGAACTACGCCACCACAGACTCCCAGCCCTGGCAGCTGACTACCTGTGGCCTGCTGAGTAGCTTCCTAGCAGGCAGAGCACCGACTGACGGACGTGTGCGTGAGATGTAGCAGTCATTTGGACAGTGATGGTTACATGTGTGTGATATGAATTTGTAGATTTTTGTAGAAGATGGAGCACTTTTAGTGCACAGCAGAGAGCTACTGAAGTAGATTAATCTGCTGTGAATGCACATAACGCACAAGATGGATGTAAACGCACTTTTATGAAAAGATTGCATCTGTAGCCTTCCTAGTTGTATGTATATGAGAAATTATAGTAAGTTATTCAGGCAGCTTAGCACATATAATATTTTGAGTGAGTGTTGACATTATTTCAGTAGTTAGACTCTCTAGTCTATAAGCAGACAGTTGTATAGTATTTAACAGACGATGTAATCTGTTCACAAGTGTATCGTATAGAACACAACCATACTGTGCAGAGAGCAAGTTACTTCTACTTGTGCCAAATACTCATTGTAGAATTTATTTTCTTACTCTGAACTTTTTCAGTCAAGACTGTTACAGATCCTCAATCAGCATGAAAATGCAGATATAGACATGCAGGCGAGTATTTACTTTATAGCAATGTGTGTGTGTGTGTGTAATCTATTATTCTTCTCTCGTTTGAAGTCAGTAATAGTTATATAGTACATTGAAACGTGTTACAGAGCACAATGGATGAATGAACGCTAGTGTAGCTTGATATTAAGGACAAGAATCCTGACAGACGGTACAATATAGAGACAGTTTATAGGACCAGTGTGTAGGATTTAGTGACATCTAGTGGTTGCAGGTTGCAACACCGCTCGTGTCTGTATTTCACAAGCTGGGAATGAGAACGGGCTGCAAAGTGTGCAGGAGAAACTACGGTGGCTGAGAAATATATTCAGGTGATTATACAC